AAAGATCTTAATTAATAAAATTTACAAGCGTATAAGCAATTTAAAAAAAAAAAAAAAAAAAAAAAAAAAAAAAAAAAAAAAATTGTGAGTGCATAAAACTATTTGTTAGTTATTATATTTAATTGTAGATGCTTGTAATTTGTTGAATTAGCGAATAAAAGCTATTTATTAGTTATTATATTTAATCACAGGCATTTATAATTTGTTGAATTAATAAATAAAAAGCTATTTGTTAGTTATTATATTTAACTGCAAGTGCTTGTAATTTGTTAACTCAGTAAATAAAAGCTGTTTGTTAGTTATTATATTTAATCACGGGTGTTATAATTTGTTAAATTAGTGAATAAAAAGCTATTTGTTAGTTATTATATTTAATTGTGGGTGTTTGTAATTTGTTGAATTAGTAAATAAAAGCCATTTGTTAGTTATTATATTTAATTGCGGGTGTTTGTAATTTGTTGAATTAGTGAATAAAGCTGTTTGTTAGTTATTATATTATACTATACTATAATCAGAAAACAATAATTAAGAATTTTGTTAAAAAAAAAAAAATTTTTAGTAAAATCATCGTTAAGTATGTCTCATTATGGTGGCAAACCCAGACATCGTTTAAGTGAACACTTCATAGTTTTAGATGAAAAATAAATAGTACTAATAAAGCAGCTATCTACAAATATTGTGTTGAAAGCTTAAATAGGTAATCTCCTAGTTAGGTTGCAAGTATGGCGGCTAGTGTAGAACCTAGATGGACCACTTAAATTAGGTACCAAAAGTACACGTGTGGCTTGATGTACCCTTGTTGTAACTGTATAACCTGAAGTTAATAAGTTAATAAAAAGTCTCCGGCCGTAGAGGTTACCTTAACACCAAAAAAAAAAAAAAACAAATATTGTGTTGAATATTATGGATATCAGCAAGCACTTTTAACAAGCAAAGTCACAAATGTTGTAAACTCTTGTTTGGCTTATCTTCGTAAATGCACATATTTTGCAAATAAACATTTAGCTGAAGAAGTTGATCAAATTCTTACTTCAATAGCTAAATTAAAAAAATAAACCAATTTGTCAAAAAGAATTTGATATAAAAATGACTTACCGGAAGATGATGATAATAGATCAGTTTGATCATTTACAACTAACTCAAGTTCAACAACCAATTTAGAACCAAAAGTAACTTCTAGTTTAACATGACAATTAAATAAAAAAGATCAGCAAATATTTAATATATTACTTCTTCATATGACAGTATCAAATGGTTGGGTATTTAGATGGGTGGAAAATCCAAAGACTAAAGCACTTTTTTCATGGCTTAATCTACGTTTACCAAATTATTAAGCATTATCAAATCGAATTTTAAAAGATTCTACAAAAGAAATAACACAAGCTCAAATTGCAATAGCATAGCAAGATTCACAAGGTGTAACTGCAGCTTTTGATGGATGGAAAAATATAATTAAACAAAAATTAATAGGCATAGTATTTCTTATATCTAAAGCAGAAGTATTAGTATGGAGCATTGAAAATATTAGTCTTTCAAGAGAACGGACAGAAGAAGCAATTGCTTATCATAAAAAACTTCTTAAAAAAGCCAAAAATCAAAATATAAAAATAATTGTCTTTGTTACTGATTCAGCATCAGAAAATATAGCAGCAAGATTAGTTTATATATATATATATATATTTTTAATCTTTGACAGCCTTGTCAGTACTTAAATACAAATATTTATATAGTAAAATCTGTTCTACAATAAAACCTATTTCTAGTAAATGTCCTTTGCAATTGCAAGCCCGGCATCATCTGGCTACAGATGCTGCGCCCAGAT